AATATTCTGGCAACATTCTATTTCAAATATTACATTTACAATATATTATTCAACTAGTCGAAATAAAATAAATATCATAAATGATGTATTTTGGTGAAATTGATTTGTTTAAAATATTACACATGTATAATATTCGCGCGATATATATATATATAATTACTTATAATTGTGAACTCTAATATATATATGCCTGAGTAGAAAATGGTTACGGTTTGCCTGAATTTTATTCCGGGCGCTATTAGGTAATGTTCCGGCATGCCTTATTGTGGAAAGCCTGATCCGGCTCTGTCAACGCCGGATAATGGCTGCTCTATTAGCGCCAAATTCAGGCAATCCTAACAGTGCCCTGATCAGGTTTTCTCTAAAATTCTTTATCGAATGTGCGCATGACCATTTTATGAACCTAACCTAACCATTATATGATAGTTAAGCTAGTTGACATCAAGAGTTTAATAAACAGTTACGTTACAATATCGTGTAGTGCGTATCGTGTATATTGTGTTTGAAATAAAGTAATAATCATACAGAATGGATCATACAGAAAGAAATACGGAAATTAACACGAATGCGTGTTAAAGATTTACGTGCAATTCGGAAACAAGATACGTACATATACTATATTATTATTTGTAGATAAAGTTACTATTTTTTTATAAACGTTCTGAAGCTGTAAACTTGTTCTCAAATCTAGAAACATATATTCGAATATTTTGAATCCGTTTTATTGGATCTGAATGTAAATTATAATAGTTTAATTGAGAAACAGTTTAGGTTAACCGCAAAGATCATTTAAAGGATTATTCATACAAAAATTGATTTTAGATGAAAATTATTCAATATCAAAACCATTGACATCTACGGTTAGTAAAAACGCTGTTTATTGATGGAAAATTTTGATACAAATAAAAGCTTTGATAAAAGTCAAGAGAACTGTCAGATGCCTTATATAAGTGGAAGTGCTAATGAAGAAAATATAAATAAAATTGACAGCAGCGTTGGGTAAGTTAATATATATATATATATATATTTTTATTTTTCAGCTTTTTTCATTCTACGTGTGTTAAAGATGGCACTTATGTGTTATATCTTATAAAAGCTCGTTTTAATACTGGTAGATAATCTTTTATATTATCATATTTATTGCTATAAAGGTAATTTTAATAATCGAAAATATACTGTTAGACTGTGTTATGTAAAAGTTCTTCGTTTTGATTAGTCAAATTTTAATCTTTAATCTTCAATTTCAATTTTTATATTTAAAATTAACATATAATTAAAAGGCCCTATGAAAAAGGGTTCTTCAATTATATATTTTAATTAATTTATTCAGATTATATGTACTGAGGATATAGTTATGGAACGATGACAATATAGATGTAACGATGCAGCATGCATCGTCACGGCTACGGACCGAACATCGTCCGTAGCCAAAAAGGGCGCATCGCGCGCCGATAAACGTATCATATAAACACCGACGGTCAATCGCCGGACGGTCCCCCACACCCGACCGTTTTCGAAATTTACCAGGTGGGGGTCCGCCGGCTAAACCGCCGATGCTTGCCGATCTTTCGCCAGTCGGGCGACAGCCGGGTATAAAAGAGGCCCTGCTGTACGCTTTCTTACCAGATCCCGTTCACTGCTCGCCAGTGAACGTCCTATTGCGAGAGCACTCGTAATCCTTCGAGAATACTCGAAGTCTATGTCCAATAGCCCCACGAGCACGAGCATACTCGTGCACCGACCGAGCATACTCGGCCCCAAGAACCGCTTCCACACGTTACGGGCACACCCGTATCTTCGCCGAGCATACTCGGCTCTAGATCTCGATACGAGAATACTCGTATTCCTGCCGAGCATACTCGGCCACCAGGAACCGTCCTCCGTTCCTCCGTGCGAGCATACTCGCACGTTACCGAAAGTACTCGGCCTCGATCCTCGCATACGAGCGCACTCGTATATTACCGAGCATACTCGGTTTCGTTTCCTCGCATACGAGCGCACTCGTATAATAACCGAGCATACTCGTATATTACCGAGCGCACTCGGCTTCGTTCTTATATATGGGCATACCCGTGTACCGCCGGGAATACTCGGCTCCACGTCAGATCACCGGTCATTGCAGAACGCGGGCAATACGCGCGTCCTCGCTCCTGTCTTCATCCTTTAAAAATCGGGTCCTCATATCCGGCAGGCAATCGCGAACTAATCGAATCGACAGCGAACATCGAAATCACCGCGCACGCGCCCGAGCTATCGATCAGTCGAACGATCATCGACGCCGCTCGGACGTATCGATCCACGCGCTCGCAGTCGTCTGGAGACAACTGCGGCACCCGCACTTGCGCTGACGTTTTCTCGTCACAGTACGACCACCGTTATACATTGTTCATCACCGCCGAGATAAATTATAACCCGCGTTCAAACAGACATATTAAACGTTCCGTATCCACACGGTTGTATATAATAGACTTCATTAATTGAGAAATAAACCTTCTTTTATTTTATTACTTGTGTTCTTATCATTTCATTCGAGCATTCTTTTACGTGCCCCCAACCGACCGAACTCCTGACTCCGGCGAGTTATTCCGCGTAAATCAACGTACCGTTTCATTATGTATTGACCGAAATGATTGAAAAATAAAAAAAAGACTTTTACGAAATAATATCCACGTTTTATGCTTTGAATTCCACATTCTTTTTTAATTATTTTATTTATATTGAATTATTAAATTTGTGAGGGGCCTGGTTAATGATATATGTTATGTTAGTATTATCAAAAAGATGTCATTTTGTCATCAACGATGAACTGATATATATTTAAATTTAATTCCAGATGTTATAGTTGCTGAATACAAAAATAACCATTCACAAGCTTTGCCAGTCACTAAGAAATGTATTTGCAAAAGCGTGGCCGCGGTAATTAATAGCGCAAAAGATTGGGAGGGCTATCGGCTATTTAGAGCCAAAAAAGGCAGTACAACAAAAAACACGGATACTTCATCAGATAAAGACAACTAGATGTCTTAGCAGGTTTTTATCATATTTTATTGTCCAAATTTTTATTTTATTTTTATTATTACTTAAATTTCGTATTAAATTTTTTTTTTCTAAGTTTAGTTAATTTGTTGTACTAAATTTATTTTTATTATTTTTATTTGGATTTATTTTATATTTTAATATAAAATTAGATATATTTAAAATTTTTAAATATTTTTAAATATACTTTTAATAAATATAAATACTTTTAATAAATTGGACAAAGCAATATGTTCAAAAAGTAAAAACTTTATATTTTTTTATTTAAATATTATGTTTTTTCGTTAATTTTCTTTGGTTATTTTTGTTAACGTATATTGCCGCTTATATATTATACAGTTAATATATGTTATATATATTATATTTAATACATTTTTTTTATCATGTGTGTCAATAATACTTGTTTGTGATTTTGAAACTTACACACATTTTATATATTATATAAATAAAAAAAGTCTAAAAATCAATTCTTTAACCTTCTTCTCCTTTTCCTTCACAGGCCCTTATTGGGGCCTTAATAAATGCCTGATTAGGGCCATATAGAACGTATCGTTACATTTTGGATCAGGCGCCTTATCAGGCTGCCTTAATAGAGCCTGATGAGGCAATAAGGCAAAAGCTAACAGGCCCATACTAGGGCCGTATTTCATTTTCTACTTGGGATACCTCGCGTACATTCCATGTATATACATCAAACGTATATATATATACGATATACGCTGAGATAGATACATTTATGGACATACATAAGATATCGTATAAGATACGTATGGATATACATAGAATCAATCATTAGTTCGTTCGCTTGCCGCTATGTGACGCATTATGCGTTATCTATCTCATATTTAAGTTTTAATCATGAAAATTATATAAAACTTGCAAAAGGCGGGTAATAATATTGAAGATGTAATAACTTTTTCTGTCAGTTTAATATCTGAATCCCAACACAGGGAATTTAATAAACTGATTGTTTAAAAATTGGGTAGATAAATATCCGAATGAATGAAAATTGTTTATTATTAAAAAACGTACTGTATATACTATGCACATACATAGAATGTACCTCATGTACATGCCACGAATGTGTATTGCACATCCTCGGAATATATCCTATGTACATACTGCGAACGTGCACTGCACATCCTCGGAATATACTCCATGTATATACCACGAATGTGCACTGCATATCTTTGGAATATATTTATGTATGTATTATGGACATCCTATGTACATACATGTGGTAATTATTTCACATACATAGGATATGCGCTTTATATACTTTTCACATTCTCTGTATATACATAGAATATACAATATACATATATGTATATACATAGGACGTACATAGAATGTCCTAATGTTTATTGGGATATTGCCACGAGCAAGTAACATTTACGCTTGCGCTACTACATGATAATATTCTTCTTCGAATTTTTCATGATATTCTGCTGTTTCCTTTACGTCGTTGCTAATTTCGTCGATCTTTGTTTGTATTTCGTCATATTTAGTATTAATTTCTCGAATGTAATTAAGACGTTCCGCTATTTCTAATCTTTTTATCTCATCTAGTGCCATCGTTCTATCTGGTGAATTAGCCATCACTCTTTCAATGTAATTTTTAAAATATGTAACCTTAGCCTTTGCGTAACCGCGTGCCTTAACTAACTCATCCATTTTCGCGAATTTGCGCGCCTCGACTAACTATCTTATCAATTCGTGATATCTGGACAAATGGATATGTGAAGGATAGGAGGTTGCTCACTTACTTGTCGATTCGTAACAAACTCGCCCAGCACTACTCTCAGTAACGCTCGCTGCTTGTCTGTCCTTGTTGCTCGCCTTGCCTTCCGTTGCGACGATAACCTCTACCTTGATACCTCGTTTCGGCTTGCGGGCAAATAAGAAGAATAACTATTCCCGTTAGATCGTCTCACGTAGATCAATGTTGCTTCGATTTCTTGGCCCTTGTGCTGTCCTTCCTTTCGAAGATGGTTTTTCTATGTCCTTTGTCGGGCACGCCCTATGCAAGTGCCGCTGTTTTCTCCAACTTGAATCTCAACAGCTTGTTTGCTCGAATACCAATGATCCGGCTCGAAGGACCATGTTGAGTAAATGGTTTCTTTAAATAAATGTGAACTGTAATCTTTGCTGGATTTTAACTTTTTTATTGCGTTGCCTTACAATACGTGTGTTCGTCTTCTTAGGCCGCGGTCCGAATCGTGTTTTCAGCGCTACTAACGCTCACGGCATTAATGGTCGGTCCGAATGAGAAAGCACGCTATTGATAGTTCGTTTCGGACCAGTCATAAGCTCGTAAATTTGTTACAGTAAAAAACATAACCTGAAAGACAAATGGATAGTGTTCTGTGTGCATGTATCAAATAGAAAAATAAAAAAAAGAAAATATGGAACTAAATGAAAAAATAACATTGCTGCAGTTTATTGAATTTTCTTTTGAAAGCGAGGATGAAGATGATGACGACTTGGAATTTGTAATGAATATGTCTTCAAGTAGTGACGAGAACGAAGAAGAAGTAAGAAACCGTATCACTATTGTAGACTTGATTCTAAATACAAAAAAAAGTGAAATGCAAATTAGACCTCGCATCAAAGACTATGTGGAAAAAATTATTCTCAATTACACCGCTGAGGAATTTAAATCGCATTTTAGGTATGGCTGACCATTGTTTAAAGAAACATTGTAGTATCATAAAAATTTTCAGTTTAAAGTAATTGTTAATATTTACATTCTGAAATTTCAAATTTCCTTTATTACAGATTGTGGCCTACAACTTTTGAATTTCTATTGGAATTAATAGGACCTACGTTAAGCGCCACTAAATCAATTAGTGGCAGAAAACCTTTGGCAGCGCAAAAACAACTTCTAATAGCTTTGTGGATGATGGCAACACCAGACTCCTACAGGTATAGTAACATCTTAATTATTTGTCAAAACTATAAGCTTTTTTATTTGCTTGTCTCTGGCTTATAGGTCTGTGTGTGTAAAATTTAATATAGGAAAGGCTACAGCAATTCGTACTATGAGAAAAGTTACTTATGCTTTGCACATTCTCGCTCCGCGATTTATTCAGTGGCCTCAAGGTGAAAGAGCAAATAAAGTGATGGAAGAATTTGAAAAAGTTAGTGCATTTCCTAAGATTATAGGAGCCATCGATGGCACTCACATTCGCATAAAAGCTCCACTGGAAGATAAACAATCATATGTGAACCGCAAAGGATATCGTTCAATCCATGTGCAAGTAAGAATTTTAAAAATGTCTTTAAGTGATTGGAAGTTCTTATCGTTTAATAATTTGTATTTCACTTTTTTAGGCAGTTTGCACCTCAAAATTGCTTTTTACAAGTGTTTTAGCTGGGAATGTTGGATCAGTGCATGATGCACGTGTTTTTCGGCTCTCTCCTGTCAGACAATATATTACAAATCCACAAATTTATTTTCCTAATGATTCACACATTATTGGAGATGTTGCCTATGGTGTTCATCCTCATATCATGGTGCCTTTTAAAGATAATGGGCAATTTAACAGTTAGACAGAAAAATTTTAATTTTTGTTTGTCTTCAGCGAGAATGGCAATTGAGAGAACATTTGGGTTGTGGAAAGGACGATGGAGAAGCATTCTTGATTGTTTGCCTATGATCACCTTAGAAAAAATTCGTGAATACTTATTAGCTACTTGTGTACTACATAATATTTGTATATTAAAAGGAGATTTGATAGATTTTGAGCAAACACATGAAGAAGATGTATCCAGTGAAGCATTAATATCTGATAGAATGGAGGACGGCAATACTAAACGACAAAGAATTATGAATAGTTTGATAATGAGATACCATTGATATTTTCAATCTTATTTAATGTTTCATTGATTGATTAATTAATGTTTTAGTGATAGTTATTTCATTATTTTTGCAGCAAATTATATGATGATTATATGATATGATTAATATTTTTATTGCAAATTATTTTTATCAAATTTATTTTTGTGAGCGCGTATGTTTAAGATTGAATAGAAATAACCTTATTATTTTTGCTATAGATTGTATTAAATATTATATAAATAAATGTCTTATACCAATTTTTGTGTATTTTAGTAATACAAATCTAAATTTTTATTAATTATCGCTTATTAGAATGATAAAAATAAATCAAATTTTAATATTGTAAACAATATTTATTTTCTACACTAATTTATAAAATATAATATCACATTGGTAGAAGAATAAATATCATAGCTTATTATTATTTAACTAGAAGCTGAAAATAATAGTGATGTATCTATATAAACTTAAATAGTTATACATTAAATAAAAAAATATTTATCTTATTTTCACAAAAAAAAATTGATTTCACATATTACGCCCATATTGACATTTTCTAAGTTTAAAATGAGCTTTAATATAAAAATTAAAAAACATAAAATTATATTATTAATACAGTATCACTAAAATAAAACAAGTGATGAGATTAATAAGAATAACTGTAATATATTATTCCAAAGAATGCTCATCAGGATAGGCAAATCTTTAAGCTATTAATTCCAAAGCTAACTTTAACTTTTATATTTAAAAAAATAATATTTAATTTATTAATTAATAGTCAATTCATAGACTAGAAAATCTTCAGTTATAATTAGACAAACTATTATGTATGCAAATAATAAAATGAAAAAGATAATAGATATTCAAGTAAACAATTTTTCTTAAGCTCTATAAGACTACCAAAATTACTACATTGCAGGTACAGAGAGTATCCATGAAAAATAAAAATAATAGAACTCTTGGAAATAAAAACTACACAAATCGCATTAAAATACTAAAGAAAACAGTTGTCCAATTATTTCTTGGTGATAGCTTCAAACAACTTCTGCATTATTTTAATTTTTTCCTGATGCTGTCTTTCTCGTTGATCTTTTAAGTCCTGAAACAATGCTTCTTTGGCTTGCCTTTTTTTCTCCCTTTCTGCTCTTTCTTCTTTCATATCTAAGATAAAGTTGTTTATAATAGTCTCAATCTTCCGTTTATTGGATTTCCCTTCATTATTTTTACAATTTTTTGAAGAAGATTCCAGTAGGATTGCTTCTTCATTCGATGTAGATGGTCCAGCTTCAGTGGCAATAGCTTTGGGATTTGCCCATCCTGATTTCCCAAAAATTTCGTGCATTCTCTGGAAGAAAACAGAAATATTTTTCAATAAGTTTTAGTCTAATATGATTGAGAAGTATGAAATTTATAATATATTTATTTACTTTTCATATAAATACTTACTTGAAAATATGGCCATGTTTTTCTGTCATTTCCTGATACTGAATTATAATCCAATATTTTTTTGTATGTCTTTTTCAAACCATTTAATTTTGATTGGCATTGTGGTCCAGTCATTGTATATTCAATATTTGTTTTCCTCATATTATCAGCAATGGCTTCCCAAATTTTATTATGACGTTTTGTGCCTGCTGAAAATTCTTCTTTCCATTCCTCATATTTATCGAGCAGTAGATATACGCACTTGGATGACCATATAAACAATGATTTATCATTTTCTGGAATTATATAAAAATTTTTATGTATAAAGAAGACTTGGAATGAATATAAGAATCATATTGTAGGGGAGCCATTATATTCTTTAGTCATACTCACTTTGATCTTTAGGATTATTATCAAATTCTTGTGGCTCTGGAGATGAAACGTAAGATGCACTGCTTGCAGTTCTTACAGAATCAGTCTCATCGTTTTCATCAATCGAAATTTGACTTTCTTGACTGATAACATTTTCGTTTCTTTTTCTATAAATATTCTTAATAAGACTTGTCATATAATTCAGATCTGGTAATACAAAAAAAAAGTTCCTTCTCATCAGCATTAATCAACATAAATCATAGTCATTGACATCAAGCATCAATTATTTGATGTCAATGATCAGAGCTAATTAGTATTAGTAATAGCTATTAGTAGAGCTAATTATCCATACAGCACGAATATCGAAAAGTAGACATCCCGAAGATATCTTTGAGATATGATATCTTCTAAAGGGTTAAGTATAATTTTATTATTAAAATACAAAAATTTATTTGTTTCCTTACCTTTAGTAGCCTTTGCAGCATCTTGTGGCGAAAGTTTTAAGGTCACAGTTTCACCTGTATCTTCTATAAAGACAGGGACGGAGATTAACTGATTTGACATTGTTTCTAACGCGACGACTAATAAATAAATTAATGTGTAGCACGTGTAGCATGTCTGACGTCACACAACCATAATCAGCCATGATGCTCACAGTGCCTCACCTTTCAACTAGGGCACCGTGAGCACTGTGCGCGTCATAAAACTATGACGTGCTATGATGTCATTATGTCCACGAAGGCACTGCGAGCGTGAATTGGACCGATCGTTAGTGTACTGATAGCGCTGTGAACGTGAATCGGACCGCGGCCTTAGTTAAACGCTATCTGCTCTAATTCCGCCCGTCGGCCGGAAACTCGTCAGAGAGGGGGGCGCCACTCGCAAAGAATCAAAGTGCTACTCTATGGCGCCAATTACAAATCATAAACAACGAGACTACAGAAAGTAACATGTTTCTAAACATTAGAGTAGAGAAATTTGAGAATGGTATCGCCTTGTCACAGACGGAATATATCATAAAGTTATTGAAAAAATAAATTTAGATGAGTGCAAACCGGTAAACACCCCGATTGTCACAGGAGAAGATAAAGCGTTTGAACGAACGGACAATGTAATAGATATATATTCTTATAAAGAAATAATAGATGAATTATTATACCTAGCGAATCGAACGAGACCTAATATCGCGTTTGTGTCATCGTACTTGTCACAATTTAATAACAGACCTGAGAAGCGACATATTATGTTGGCGAAACGAGTATTACGATATTTACAAGGTACTCGAAATAAAGAGTTGTTTTACACTAATGAAGTGGGAACTTTGAGAGCATATGCAGATTCCAGTTGGGGAAATGGCGAAAATGGAAAATCGTTCTCAGGAGGAGTCGTTATGCTAGGAAATTCCTTAATATTGTGGAAAAGCAATAAACAAAAATGTGTAGGATTATCTACTTGCGTAGTAGAATTATTTGCGTGCTCAGATATAGTAAAGGATGTAAAATGATTGTCGAATGTATTAATAGAAATGAAACAAGAAACGTTCTTGAATAAACCTGTTGTGATGTATTGTGATAATACGGCAACAATAAAATGGATGAGGAACGTACGTTCATCAAATAAGACGCGTCATGTTTAATTTAAAATTTCATTTTGTTAGAGACGAAATAGAGAAGGGTGATATAAATGTTAAATATGTTGAGACAAAATATATGGTTGCGGATTTTCTTACTAAAGCGGTAACGTATGAAAAATTATTATGGACATTAGAGAAAATTAATGTAATAAATAATTCTTACGTAGGTCAGACAAAAAGAAAGTTGATCACAAGAATTAAGGAACATAGAACGGATATTAACAAAAAAAGTGGCTCTCCCTCTGTCATTTCCCGTCATAGATTAGAATCCACCCATGATTTTGATTGGAAGAATGTCCGCATATTAGATGAAGAACCGTCATATTCAAAAAGGCTCACTTCAGAAATGCTCTACATTAAAAGACAGAAGGAGGAGTTAAACAGACAGAGCGACACTGAATCTTTACCTAGTTCATATTTACAAGTACTAAATTTATTCCCATCAATTTGATTTCTGTTCCTCTCTCTCCTACTCTCTTTGGTTATTGCCCCCTCCTTTCTTCTCTTTTTTCCCTTCCTCTCCCCCCCCCCCTTCTCCATCATTCTCTGTTCTTGATAATATCTGAACTCCCTCCTTACTTCATCACCTCGGGTTTCCACACACCTCTGTGCGGATAATTTGCCGTTCTCATTACCTTTTCAACCATTTGACCAAGTTGACACATTTATTCCTATGATTTTGACACTTCGGTTTTTAAGTTTTAACGTAATATTTATTATGAGTGTTGAAGGCGAATCATGGGACAAAATCTATCTCTGGCTCTTCCATTAGAAGTATGTATCAGTTATTATGTTACCATTGTACAATTTATAAAAGAATACCATATGTTAATTTACACGGGCAATAATTTTTACAGTTCCAATTATATCTCCACTATTGGATTCTAATTAATAGGAAGAAATCAATGCGTAGCTCGTAGCGTTTATTTATTTAATTTTTAATGTTCCAATTATCAAGACATTGTATTTATTTTGTAATTTATGGTAAATGTCACTGAAGAAGGCCTAACATAGGCAGAAACGTTTGATTTTGAATGTATTTTATATTTATAATATAATTTGATTTTATGCACGAACACCTTGCAACGGCTCTTTTCGCCTCTTATCCCTAATTATTGTTAATTTTGGAGCCTATAACTAATTTTAAATTGTTAATGTAATAAATGTAAATGCCATTAATGTTAAAGACTAAAATACCATATACGACGATGATACTCGTAGGAGAAGAATGTAGGTAAATAATCTTATTACCATAAGATTAGCTAGTATGAGTATCACTCTTTGTATTTACGTAGTTCGTAAAACAGTCGAATTAGCGTGCATGCACATATTAAGAAATATGCGAGGTCGTGTGACGAGTCAGTCGGAGAGTATCCATGAGAGAAGCA